TTTTTTTCCGCTTTGAGACAACTATAAATTTGATTGTTAGCAATAACCATGGATTATTATTTTTTATTATGTGACGTTGGCGTCATTGATGCAACTCATACCTTACTGGATAAAGCATAATACATGTTATGCTTTATCGTAGCACAACTATGGTATTATTTGTACATTATAAATTAATACTTCATTCTCTTTAGTATCAATTTATTTTATAATCATGGTTAAACATAGAAGGATTTATTCGTGCAATACCCTTCTGTTTTTGTCATATTTAACATATGAAAAGAAGTTTATAAATACAGGAGGACGCAGTGGGGAATTCTTTAATGCACACCGTGCGTTGAGTGCACACATCTTGTGCACTTTAATTGTGTGCAATGATTTTAGAAAATGTGTCTGCAAATAATTCTTATGAATTAAGAGAATAGACTCATTACTTTATTCTATGTAGTGCAGACTTAAATATTCTCTCTCTTGTTCGTAAATACGGTTATTTGAGCAAAAAAGAAAGTGAATTATGCGGCGCATATTTGTGAGCTGAATAATTAGTAATTATTATCATAAAAATTTTATTTATATGTCTCCTCTATGTTAGTGTGTAATTTTATCAAATAGCACCGTATACTCTAGAAATGCGCTGTTGTTTGCGAATAATATGAATGAAAAATATAAATCAAGTGTCAATCTAATTGTATCTGAAGAAAAACAATTATATTTCACCGGGAAGAATAGTAATTAAAAATAATTTCATACGTGTTTCTTCATATAAATAGAATGAATGCCGGAGATAAATTTTTTTACAGCGATTTTCACTAAAAATTATTCGTTGCTTATACACCTCATTCAGCGCGTGGTGGATTTCTTTTTTTTTGTCGCAGTGGCCAGTAAACTAAGATTTGTGTTTTTAATTAAAGGTTTCTTCTTTCTTCCACTGAAATTATATATTTTGTTAAATACAATTTACGTATATTTTGTAATGTTGCAGTATTAATAATTAATCATATATTTTCGATCCTTGCTGCATTATTTGCGTCGTGTCCGCGAGGTACTACCTCTTTGCCAAAATTTGATTTATTTACGGAGCTTTTAGATCAATATTGTATGATGTAATTCACCCAATAATATATAAAATGTACACAGCTCAATATGTTCCCTGATGTGTTTTTTATTAAAAGTATCTAGACGCTCATATGATGTGTTGCAATGCAGGTCATTATAGTAGTGAGTTCATCGTAATCTATGGAACCTAAGAATAGCTTAGGTGATGTAGTGTTAATTATTAGTACGGCTGCGTGAATATATTATCAACTGCCAAAATATTGCAACAAAGGAGTAATATTATGTATATGGATGAACCAAATCTTGTATGCATCATCGTTCGTAAAATTCGTTTTTTATTTATAAGCTGTGTATTAGATAGGCCCCTTTATATGCACGTTTTTATTTTATATTATATAGTACATAAATGGATGTATGATTAAGGGTCATAAAACAGAAATACTATGTGTCTACCTCTCATCATATATGAACTGAGACAGAGGAAAACTGAATAACAGAGACGACTAAGAATATCCTCGAACGGATTCCTGAAAAATCTAATATAATGCTAGACATTATTTAAATTTTGAATTATTTGTTTTATTGTAACTGCCTTTAGAAGTACTTTCTTTTTATCTTTTCCGTTGTAACGGTCATAAGTATATATTGTCACATCTTTCTTGCACTGCCTGCACCACTGACCACGTAATGAGCGACCTAGCTATTTACGAAATATATCCATTCTATATAATTGTATGCATGCATCCCGTTGCATATGTGTATAGAAAGAATTTTTCATGTAATATTTATTATTATCATGGCACTCTTTCCTTATGGTAATTATGATTTCTGCGATGCTTTTGCATTACGTAATTTCTATTTTAAGAGTCTCTTTTAGATAGATGAGTAATGAAACATTGCAATTTTATAATGCGTTCCCAAGGTCCTCACATTTATTTGAAACCTATAGAATTTGTGGACATCTATGAAAAGACACTAGGAATAACAGATATGCA